TTTCCATCGTCAGTCATTGCTTTCAGTGGAGTTACACTAGGCATGACCTTCATTCACTCTTATTGTCCACCAAGCCAGTAGAGAGACAATAATGCTGAGCAATAAATATTATGGTGACAGTGTTGATTTTAATCACATCCTGTATGTGAGATTCACTGGCTCAGAGAAAGTGTTTAGAATAAAAAGGAAATTGGGTCTGGAGTTCCTCTCCCTAAACTCTGGGTTAAGAGAGCAGCAGTATCTGTCAATGAGAAACAAAACACAGGATGAGATTGAGATTTAGAGAAACTTCACCTTCCTGGCCATTATAATTGTAATAGCCTAATTATTTTGCTCTATCACTGGGATTGTCAGAAAACCAGTCTGTATTTTACTGATACATTAGAATGAGCGTCTGGTCTCACACCTGCATTACTCCTGCATTACACTTGTGCGAGTGAAGTCAGAATCTGTCTTCGAAAGTCAAAAAAGTGAGATCCTATCCGTAGTCTGACAGCAGGACTTACAGTAGCACTTGCTGTTGACTTCAGTAGGAGCAGTTAGGCCAACAATGAAGGATTTTTAAAACCCCATGCTGAATGTCCATTGTAGCACAGACTGTTCTTTGGATCAGCTGCGTGTTGCACCAGACCGAGTCCTAACCCGTCGCTCTTCCAATACTTTAACAATCGAGTCTGCTCATCTCTTACCAGAAATCATCCGGACTACCTGAAAATCTTTGTGTTTGTTTGTTTTAAATCAAAATTACAAAATTTTCTCTGAGAAGCACCTTCGAGGATCTTTGTACAAAATTATGTCTAGGTTATATGAAGATAAAAGTGATGGTCAGAGCATCCTTCCTGTTTGTCTGCTCCACACCTTTATCTCTAAAATGGATCTCTGTTAATGTGAGGAAACAGTCTGAGATTGTCTAGTATGCTTATAAAAATGTTCAAAGAGTTCACAGTTCCTTCTGCCTTTGCATGCCAACTGCAGGAAGTCTCTGAACCCCCCAATACCTGGAAGTTACCTGGTAACAAGACAGGGTGATTCCAACATTGGTCAGTAAACAATTAATGCTGCAAAAACTTAAATCGCTCCCCATCAAACATTGATGTGTGGCTCTGTGATACAGCTGGAACTCACAGCTAACAAAAGACTGGCATTCCCCTCTCCTCTTTTTATCCTACCCCTCTTTGCTTACTCTGGGTATTATGATGAATCTGGTATTTGGATATATTTGTATTTGGAATAATAAAACATTATAAATATACATAAAGGAAGGCCCTGATTCCAACCCCCCTGTAGTCATTGCAAATCTTTCAACTGATTTCTGTGGCCTCTGGATCTGGCCCTTAGGGTATGTCTCCATCACAGCAAAAACACCCCAAACCCCACCGTGCTGAGTCTCGGAGCCCCAGTCAGCTGGCTCAGGATTGCGGGGCTCAAACGGCAGGACTACAAATAGCAGTATATGTTTGGGTGAGGGGGATGGGTCTCCGAGCGTAGGCTCTGAGGCTCTCTGCCAAGCAGGTTTTTTGTGGTGTAGATGTACCCCTAGTGATCAACAACAGAGATGTCCAAATCTCAGTAGGAAGCTGTCTTCCTCTTCATTTACTGCGTGCTCTAAAAAACGGATACGTTAGTTAGCACGGTGGCAGTGAGCAAGAGGCATTGGGAACTGATCCTCAGGGAAGCTGGCCTTTCCTTGTCCAGCTGTGAGAAGCCCCCACTATGCAGCAGTGTAGGGTTAGCTCTTCAGAGTGCTCTGACAGAGTGTCAGTTTCCAGTCTGCACAGCTGCTCTCCCTCATTCCCACAGTTTCTCGGGGCTGGAACAAAACACTGTGCTGAACTGTGTCCTGTATTTGTTTTGCCCGATCCCACTATATACAGTTATTGATGAGTGACTGACTGTATGCCGTTCGCTATAAGGCAGACAGTAACCGAGTGCAGTCTGCAAATTCCTATTGACTCTGTCCTGCAGTGCGTTAAAGATCTGAGACTCCAGCTGGTAGCCAAAGCAGGATCCTTTGAATACTTGGAGAAGGATCCAATGGTTTTGACTGGACTTCCACTGACTGGCTGTTTGCTCCAACTCTCCTCTCCTCCTTCACAGTCCCGTCACCTATGTTTCACTACACTCCTGCCCTTCTTTTCCTTTTCTCCCCTGCCCTGTCCCTTTCATCCCCCTTTTCTTTCCCTTTAGCTGCCCCCCCCCCAACTCAAACCACCTGCCAAAACAACCCAGGGACTAACGTGACGTGTGCTGTGCTCATATTGTTCGCTCTGCTTCGGTGTCTTACCCCTTCCCCCACCCTGGGTCTGTCTGTAATGACCAGCTACAAAGCAACTCACTTGAAATGAAATGTGAATGAGCAGATCAGGAACTGACAGACTGATTAAATGCTTTTTTTTTCAGAGGCCTTTTTTGATCTCAAACCACATACTTGGCTAGACACAATTCTCATTTCAGCTGGACAAAGAGCTCTTACCTTAGGACCAAAAGAGAACAATTTACAAAGTATCCCACTGTACCAGGAAAGCGAGATGAGAGAATGATGAAGCCAGTTATTTCCCTAGGGATTTGACTACAAATTAGTAAAATAATGTTACCCCCTTTGACCCAAGCCATTAACCAGTATTCAGGATCGTGTGGGTTCTTTCTCTTGGGGGGAGAAATTGATGATGGAGTCAGGTATTCTTTGATGTAATCTGGTTTGTTTGCAAAGAATGTACATAAAGGTCCTGTTTCCCTGAACACAGCATGTGCAGTTAGTCGTTGGCTCCGGGGGTGTCGTCTCTGGGTGCTGCATTGGTTCTGGCCAGGTAGCCCGTACAGCAGCTTGATTGAATTGCCCAACAAGACCACAAGACATGGTTTAGTAGCAAAGCCACCTGGCCAGCTTTATTGTTGACGAAGCACAGTCCTAGCTCTCCGGATCAATGTCTACAGTTACACTAGCACGTATATGTCCATTGCAATGGACACAGCTCAGTGAATGGCAGGACTTTTCATTCCCACCTCGGCTGGCCAAAGACACCCCCTCTGAGGCTCCATTTTATACACCGATACAAACAAGTTACGTATTGCCCCTCTGATGTGGTTAGTTACCACCCTTTACCTTGTACATGTTGGTTTGATCAAAACTAGGGTGACCAGATGTCCCGATTTTATAGGGACAGTCCCGATTTATGGGTCTTTTTCTTATATAGGCTCCTATTACCCCCCAGCCCCCTGTCCTGATTTTTCACATTTGCTGTCTAGTCACCCTAATCAAAACATCTCTATCCATCACGCTGTCATCTGACCTTATCTTTAAGGGGGGGTGGGGTCAGTGTGCCCTTGTATCATCTTCGGAGAGTGTGTTTGTATCATACTTAGTAGCAGGGTGTTCTGGTACCACCCTTCTGGAATGTGCTTGCATGAGTGTCCTGCGCTTAGCACTTCTCAGGAATGTGTGTTATTTTGCAATATCAGCCCTGTTCTTGCCAGTTTCTGTGAGCTTGCGCTCTGACTTCTGCCTACAGCCTGACTTTTGCTAACTTTGCTTTATATTAGCAGACCACTGCCTTAGGCCTCATACCAGGCCTCTTATACAAGGCCTGATGTCTCATGCTCTCTCTTTCCGCTACAGCATGAATCAAACAACAGGAGGCAGTTTGCTCACAGTTCCAAGTCGCTCTTCAGCCAGCACTCTACCCAGAAGCTCTCTCTTTGGCTCCATCTACATTACGAGCTAGGTGTGTGATTCCCCTGGTTGTGTACACACGCTGACTCTCATTGGGTAGCCATGGTAGAATGGGTTGTGGCAGCAGAGACATGGTGGGGCTGTGCTGGGTACAGACCCGCTTGTTTGAGGCAGGTTTGTACTTGCAGCTGCTACATGTGCTACCATAGCTACACTGTCAGTGAGGGCTAGCATGACTGTGTGTCCCCAAGCAAGGCATCACATGCCTCCCTCATAGTGTAAACATGGCCTCAGCTGGTTTCTCAGGGTCATCCTACAAGTGCTTCTCTGGCTGTCTGGGGCTTCCTTGCTGCCTTCTCTGTCTGCTTCTGTCACCTATCTGCTGCGCTGTCTCACACAACTCCCTCAAACGACACCCCGTCCCCTGCATTTGCATTCAGCCCTCCACCCACATAGCTAAGATTCCTGACAGGTCTTTCCTGCAGCCAGTATTTTGGGTGGTGGGTCCTATTGTGGCAGCTCTGTATTCCAGAAAGGAGCTTAATTGCTTTTTTTACATTTATCCTGAATGAGGAGCGGCTACTATGCCCACTAGTCACAACGAGGTTTCACCCAAGCCGTGGCAGAGCAATAATTTCCACCACACCAGTGTTGACAGAAATATGTCTGCTATGCTTTTAATAGTCTGCGGTTCAGATTTGCAAAAGAGCTTAAGGGATTTAGGCACCCACATCCCATTGAAAGTTAATGGGAGCTGGGGGGCTATGGAACTTTGGAGGCTTTGAAAATCCAAACCTGTAGTATTAAACTGGAAGGCCACGCCATACATCCTCTTGTGAGACAAGTTCTGAGGTAAGTGAATCTCTGAGAACAAGGCCCAAAAACCAGAGCTCTGTCACCTAGTCAAAAAAAGAGCAAAAATGTTTCTTTTCATATGTGACCTGGCAAGAGTTTTGAGGAGGGATTTGAATCAGGTGAGGAAGTGCCTGGCTGAACAGGTTTTGAGAGGCCCTCCAGGCATGGAGAATGCCAGGGAAGAAAGCTTGGAGGCAGAAGGAGGAAATGCGGGGGTCATCAAGCAGAAGGCAGCATTGGCACAATGTAGGGGACCAGGAAACTCAGAAAGAGATAAGGTCAGAGGCATAGACTGGGTTGAGGAGTTGTGAATGCAAGGACAGGGAACTTTGTTCTTCATACCCTGTGCAAAGAGGAGCTAGTGGAAGGACTTGAAGAGGAGGGTTACTTCCTACTGGAGAAGAGGCGGCTGCAGTATGTAGAGCCTAAAAAAAGAGAAATTATACTACAGCCAGGCTCACTCAGCATTTCTGAAAAGTGTACAGGCTGGTCCTCTGTCAGTTCTGGTACATTCCTGGAGTTTCTAATCAGCCTAAATGGCCCATTCCCTGTTGCTTCGCTGGATCGTGCTACAGCTGTATATAGGTGAGTGTTTGCTTGCTTTACCAGTGTATGTCTTCAGAAGACAAAGTGAGATTCATTTTATTTTTGGAAAGTTACAGAGCAAATGGTATTCATTGTTTCTATTTGTATATACACCCCTATCCATGTATAAGGTTGTAAACATGTACGTGACTCACATTCATTGTTTCTGTATGTGTATATACAGTATATCCCTATACACGTATAAGATTGTAAATATATACGTGACCTCTTAGAAGATTGTAAAAATTATTTGAATTAGTGCCAGTGCAGAAGAATGTATTAGTTAAACAGTTTATTAATTATTCAGATGTTCTAATTGGTTCCCCTTTATATGCAAAAGTTGTGTGTAGGTTCTGTTGGTTATTAAGATAGCTTTGTATAACTATAACAACAACACAGAAGTAATTTTTTTTTTTGTAAATCTAACTTTTCCTGCCTGCCCTGAGCTGAGCTGCCAGCCCCAGGTTTAAATATTAATGGAGTAATGCTTTTATAAAATGAGACAAAGCTCTCTGCCTTGGCTGCACTCTGTTCAGATTAACGTCAACGGTAAAACTCCCAAGGGAAGTAAAGTGGGAGCAGAGTTATAGCAACACAGAACACTTTCAGAAATCCCACCCAAAATGTTTAATTATCTTCCATGTAAAATCTGGTGCAGAAGGACTACAAGAGATGCATGTTACAAGGAGAATTAGAAAAACTCGAGAGACTGGGTAGTATACTGGCCACAATTTCCAAACCTGGGTGCCTTGAGTTAGGCTCCTAAATCCATATTTAGGCATCTAGGGGGAATTTTCAGAAGAGCCTATGTGTCTTAAGAGCACAAGTCTAACTTTCAGTGGGCCTTGTGCTCCTAAATCACTTAGGCACTTCTAAAAATTCTGTCCTACGTGCCTAAATATGGACTGAGTAGCCTAACCTTAGTCACCCAGGTTTGGAAATTTTGTCCATGGTGTATAGAGCTGTTAAAATGCCAAACAGGATGAAGTAGCCATTCTAATACTTACAGTAACTGCAATATTCTTAAACCACTATCTGACAACCAGGGAAAGATTGGGGTATTGGTAGAAAACAGTGAGAGACAAGAATTGATTTTGCCCCTTCACCAGTCCCATTGAGATTCAGCAGGCAAGCTAACCTAGCTCCAGGGTATCTGATGCTTTCTGTTGAGCCAGAATCACACTGGGATTGCCACAGCCACAGGGAATCCAAAATATTTCTAACCCATTACCATGTCCATTATTGACCTAACTAGGAGGCCCCTGAGGACCCTTTACCCACTACTCCTTCAGCCTGAAAGAAAGTCAGTTTTTAGGCCTTCATTTGTGGTTTCGTCAATAGTATCTTTATATGGAAACATAGGGGTCAAAATGACCATTAGTCACTTCTCACCCATCTTAACCCAGCTCAGCATTGCTAAATCTTGGAACTGCCAGGTTTCGACACAACAGAGTGAGAAGTCAAACAATATTTATCCTTTTATCAACTCAGCCCCTGGAGAACCTGGTACTCATGCTATATCTAACTTGCTCTAAGCAAATATGAACAATAGAGCTGGAAGGGAAAAAAATCAATATTTTTTCAACAAAAAAAGTAAAGATTTTTTTGCAAAAATTATTCCTTTTTCAACCAGCTCTAACGTACAACCCACACTAGAAGCATATGCATTTTTGCATCCCCTTTAGTAGCTAGTCTACATAAGAAGAAAAGAGTCTATTACAGTTACCCCCTAATGGAGTTACTCCCTTATATCAAGTAGCAGAGGTGTGTGCTTTTAGCACTGGAGGCCACAGGTTCTAACACTGCTGATGATCCAAAAGAGACAGTGATAAATATGGTGTAAGCGGCCAATTATGAGCTCAGTTGTGTTTTGACGTTTATATGACTTTAAACATAGGGGGGCAATTCATCAACAATTACACTGAGTAGACTTACTGGGTGGGCACACTGACCTCAGTGGGACTCATATGAGCAGTTGCTACTTAATGTGAGTATTGGGCCAAGAATCAGGCCCGTAATGGAAGTATTTGTGTATAGATATAGCTAGGGCCCTACCAAATTCACAGTCCATTTTGGTCAATTTCACGGTCATAGGATTTTAAAAATAATAAATGTAATGATTTCAGCTATTTAAATCTGAAATGTGACAGTGTTGTAATTGTAGGGGTCCTGACCCAAAAAGGAGTTGGGGGGGGTCACAAGGTTTTTGTAGGGGGAGTTGTGGTACTGCTACCCTTATTTCTGTGCTGCTGCTGCTGGCGACGGCGCTGCCTTCAGAGCTGGGCAGCTGGAGAGCAGTAGCTGCTGGCTGGGAACCCTGCTCTGAAGGCAGAGCCCCCCCCAGCAGCAGCGCAGAAGTAAGGATGGCATGGCATGGTATCGCAACTCTTACTTCTGCACTGCTGCCTGCACGGCACTGCCTTCAGAGCTGGGTGCCTGGCCTACAGCCACCGCTTTCCGGCGGCCAGTTCTGAAGTCAGCACAGAAGTAAGGGTGGCAGTACTGTGACCTCCTAAAATAACCTTTAAGACTAACAGAAGTAGTCTTAAACAGAAGACTGTTAGACTTAAAGGTGCCACAGGACCCTCTGTTGCTTTTTAAAGATTCAGACTAACACGGTTACCCCTCTGATATAAAATAACCTTGTGATCCACCCCCCCGCAACTCCTTGGAGAAACCCTGGTCTCCCCCAGGAGATCGGTATAGTGCAGGGTAAAAGCACACAAAAGACCAGATTTCATGGTCTGTGACGCGTTTTTCATGGCTGTGAATTTGGTAGGGCCCTAGATACAGCCAATAGTGTGATTTTGTTTAACTGAACTAAAGGTACATCTACATTGCCGCGGGGAGGTACTTCCCAGCTCCAGTAGTCTGCTCAAAATAGCCGTGAAGCTGGGGGTAGCATGGGCGGTTGCTCAGGCTACCCTCCTGAATGCATACTCGGGGTTCAGGCGGGTTAGTACTCAGGCTAGGAACAAGGCCAGGTGCAGGGCAGGGTCTGGGCTGGAGCAAGGCAAACACAGGGAGACATGCTCCTCCTTATGGCCCTTGTTCAGAACGATGCTAGAAATGACCAGGGACAGAATATAGGGAAGGTAGAAATCATAATTAAAACTTCAGGGGACATGGGGCAGATCATACAGCCTGGAATAGACAGGAGGGGCCAAATCCTCCATTGGCTAATGTCCCCTCAAGTCAATGGAGTTAGGCCAGCAGAGAATTTGCCCCAATATGTGAACTCTTCTTTTTTATTATAGTGCCCTTAGCTAAAAGAACCATCCCTGTTAGCTCTGATTTCAGAATTACACCCACAGCCCTCCAGCCGGGGGTGCTGTGTGGCAGGGATACAAACCCGGGGCTAAATGAGACGGGTTTGTCTATAAATGCAAAGTAAAGCTGAACACACTGATAGCCCGAGCCGGCTCTTGCCGTGTAGCTCCAGTGGAGTTACTCCAGGTTTACAGTGGGCTACGTGAGGAGCATCCGGTTCAGTATGCTTGGTATTCAGGTGAATGCAGTGCCCAGGAAAGGTGCTGGCCCATTTGATAACTGGGGGGTGTGTGTGTGTGTGTGTGTGTGTGTGTGTGTGGAGCCAGCTCTGCAGAATGAAGACCTACCTTTATTTATTCTCAGAACAGGCACAGCATAAGCAATGGCAGAGTCCCATTTTCTCAGCTTCCCTGTGGAATCTGCGGTGCTCAAGTACAAGTAAAATCATCTCCATTTCAATAGACACGCCAATTGGTCAGCCCACAGGTTTTAAAAGATGGTTGCTGTGTACTCCCTCCTCAGGCATCTCCTTTGCCAGGATGCCTGGAAAAAAAATAAATAATAATAATTAATAATAGTACTCTCCACAGCTCAGGAGAGATGGGAGCATTCCCTGTCTTTGTCCCCCGCCCTTCCCTCAGGGTAAGTGAATATTGACCTCCCATCACCTTGTAACTCCTTCTCCTCCCACACTGGAGCCATTGGCTCAGTGTTCCTCACCTTGTTGGTTGAGTAGGGAGCATTCTGGTGGTCATAAGTCTGCTCATCCCACTGCACTGCACAGCTGCAGGACAATGAGAGCAAAGACTAATATACTACAAGATGCAGGCCTCTGGTCAAGACTGGGAAGGCTGCCATCTTCTTTGCTAATAACACTTGCTTATGTCCTTTCCCAGGGTATCTTAGAAGGTCTCTCAGGCAGGGCTCAGACTGGGATGACCCAAAGGGGTCACTATTCCACTATTAAAACAAAGTAACTAATGCAAGGTGCGTGGCGGAAAGGCAAAAGGAGTGTTCTCCCCTTCTTACTTAAATATTTACCTGACTGTCCTGTTCTCCGGATACGGTACTGTGTGAGATTGAGGAGTAGGGCTGTGTATCCATGGAGTAAAAGGTCTTGACTTTGCTTTTCCTGCTCTTCCTCCCCAGCACACGGTGTGTCCACGATAGTGAGAGCGAAGGTGGGGCAGTCTGTCAGGCTACCCTGCACCTACAGCGTTAGAGAAACGCATGACCTCAATGTCATGTGCTGGGGCCGGGGGATCTGTCCGTCCTCTAAATGCAGCAGTGAAATTGTTCGCACTGATGGGCAGAAGGTGATATCTAAACAGTCTGGCAGATACCAACTCCAGGGTCCTATCACCAAAGGGGATGTGTCTCTGACTATAAGAAATGTGGACCCCGAAGACAGAGGAGCATACTGCTGTCGCATAGAGATCCCTGGATGGTTCAATGATATCCAACGAAACCTGAATTTGCAGGTTTACAGAGGTGAGCAAAACCCTCTTCTCTCTCTGTAGAGAGAAATCCATTCTTCTGCCATTGAGGCTTAGACTATGTACCTTAGAGAGTGGTAGCAAAGTGAAAAGAGTTCCAAAGCCTAGAAAAAAACATGGAGAAATGCTCCAATAACAACTATGTGGGTGACACCAGCCAATCACTATGCTCTCAAAGGAACTCACACAGAAAAATGATAAAAGACAAAAACACCGTGTCACCTGTGGGTGACCACTTTCCACAAACAAATTTATTTGGGGATAAGCTTTCGTGGGCTAGAACCCACTTCATCAGATGCATGGAGTGGAAAATACAGGAGCAGGTATAAATACATGAAAAGATGTGAATTGCCTTACCAAGTGTGAGGTTAGTCTAACGAGACAATTCAACTGACAGCAGGATACCAAGGGAGGAAAAATAACTTTTGTAGTGGTAATGAGAATGGCCCATTTCAGACAGTTGACAAGAAGGTGTGAGTAACAGTAGGGGGAAATTAGTATTGGGGAAATTAGGTTTAGGTTTTATAATGACCCAACCACTCCCAGTCTTTATTCAGGCCTAATGCGATGGTGTCCAGTTTGCAAATTAATTCCAGTTCTGCAGTTTCACGTTGGAGTCTGTTTTTGAAGTTTTTTTCTTGAAGAATTGCCACTTCTAGGTCTGTTATTGAGTGACCAGGGAGGTTGAAGTGTTCTCTACTGGTTTTTGAATGTTATGATTCCTGATGTCAGATTTGTGTCCATTTATTCTTTTGCATAGAAACTGTCCAGTTTGGCCAATGTACATGGCAGAGGGGCATTGCTGGCACATGATGGCATATATCACCTTGGTAGATGTGCAGGTGAACGAGCTCCTGAAAGTGTGGCTGATGTGGTTAGGTCCTATGATGGTGTCCCTTGAATAGATATGTGGACAGAGTTGGCACCGGGGTTTGTTGCAGGGTTTGGTTCCTGGGTTGGTGTTTTTGTTGTGTGGTGTGTAGTTGGTAATGAGTATTTGCTTCTTGTTGGGGGGCTGTCTGTAAGCGAGGACTGGCCTGTCCCCCAAGGTCTGTGAGAGTGAGGGATCATCCTTCAGGATAGGTTGTGGATCCTTGATGATGCGCTGAAGAGGTTTTAGTTGGAGGCTGTAGGTGATGGCTTCTTGTCAACTGTCTGAAATGGGCCACTCTCATTACCACTTCAAAAGTGCCACAAGGACTCCTCGTTGTTTTTGCTGATACAGACTAACACGGCTGCTACTCTGAAACTTTTCACAAAGAGATCACTCCATGTCTGACCTCTCAGTCCTCATCCTCAAAGGAAACCTGCACAGCACTTTCAAAAGACAAGTCTGGGAGAATAAATTTATAACTTTGCTAGACACTAAAAATCATGGTCTTCATAAAGACACTGGATTTAAGAAGTGGGTTGTAGCCCACGAAAGCTTATGCTCTAATAAATTTGTTAGTCTCTAAGGTGCCACAAGTACTCCTGTTCTTTTTACTGGATTTAAGGCTTATTACAACAATCTGTAACCCACTGACCCCCCTTTTTGTCCTATGACTTCAGAAGTGTTAATGGGGCACTTCATCTTGAATGGTCCCTTAGAGTATGTGCTAACTACTTATGTTAATCTGTTCCACCTTGTATCTAACTGTGACACTCTGAGTGCCTTTCCCAGACCTGACAAAGAGCTCTGTGTAGCTCAGAAGCATGTCTCTCTCATGGTCCAATAAAATATATTACTTCACCCTCTTTGTCTCTCTTTATAGAGAAACAGGGGTGTGCTTGGTGACTACTGAACATTCAAGGCCAGTGATCTGTGCTGTGCTCTAAACTATGAGCGGACACGTATAGGCATACAGGAGCGAACAATCTTACCTCATCATGCAAGAGCTGGGTGGGAAACGGATTCTCATCCCATGAATATTTTCAAGAATGAAATTTTTTCTTGTCTTGAATCAGGACAAAAAGTCAAAATCTTGAAAATATTCACAAACCGAAAAATTCACAAACCAAAGAACTGTTCTTTTTTTTTCCATTTCAGGTCAATCAAAACATTTTGCTATGCAAATTTTGAAATGTTTCTTTTTGACTTTGACCTTTTAAAACCTTTTTCAGTCTAATTAGTCTAAATTTCAAAATGAGGAGTCATTCTGAACTGGAAGATTGGAATTTTTCATTTTGAAAAAAAATCAAAATGTTTCCTTTTGACTCTTTTGAAATGTTCTTTTCTTAACACTTTTTTTTGGGGGGGGGGGTTTATTTATTTTTTTGAGTCAGGAAATTCATCAAACCCAATCCTGTTTTGTGAACAGTCTTGATTTTCATGAATCAGCATTTTTCGACAAAAAAACTATTACAAAATTCACAGCTGCCTCTAATCATGGGGAGGAACTAGTAAAGTCACAGCACAACTTGGGATAATGGCTGGTCAAATGTTATCTCTCAACATTTTTTTTTTTGACAGAAAATTGAGGTTTTTTTTTTTTAACTTAACAAAAATATTCACAGAAAGTGTCTGCTTTCCTTGAAAAAAACTGATTTTTCATCAAAAAACTGAAAATTCCAAACCCAGAAATGTTCGGCTTTAGGGATTTTGGCTGTAAATTTTCAGTTTTTGGATCGTCCATTTTTGGACCCCAAAAAGTCAACGTTGGCCATGCAAAAAAAAAGTTTTCCAACCAGCTCTATTTGGGACTCATTTCTTACCTAGTTAACTGGCCTTTTAAAGCACCAGTTCATCAGCCTCTTCTCAGAGTTTTGGCAAACAGATTGTTTCAATTCAGTTATGGTTTGGCTTTGTTTTACTTAAGTTCTATTGAAGATGTTCTGATCCGGCTTCTCTTTATTTCGTTTCAGCACGCACTACTCCCGCAAAGACAACCACAACTGCCCTCCCAACATCCACTACTCTGCCCCTGATAACCACTATTGCACTCCCAACACCCACTGCTCCCCCAACGACAACCACAACTGCCCTCCCAACAACCTTTCCTTCCCTGACAACCATTTTTCAGACAGCTTCTGCGTGCACTGAAGATGATGATTTCATTTTTTTCACAACAGAACATGTTCTCCCTACTGCAGGTATGAAAAACAGATGGCTCTGAGCACTTCTCTCACTGTGCCATGGCGAGGTTGGCACAAAAAGGGCAGAAAAACATACCTTAATATGGAGCATTCCTGTTACCCCAGCACACGCTGATGAATTACCTGTTCTTTTATCTATTAAGTGAGGGATGCTTTCAGTCTACTTTGCCACCTATTTTAGACTGAAAGCTTTTATGTAACTTTGTTTCGTTTTGATGCTATTGAGCCATGTCCTTTCACTGATACTGGTATAAATTTACAGTAACTCCATCAGCTTCAATTCTCTCCTGGAAGGCACTTTAAGAATTAATGTAGGTTTCACTGTGCCCAGAAGTAGTGCTGACTCTTCTGTGTCATATACACTTATCCCTGTTGCATTCATACATCTCTCTCTGTGCTGTCTTCCCTGCTCCACAAGACAAAGTCCAGTTCCACTTCCCTTCCCTTCTGCTCTTTCTTGTTTTCCTCAAGCACCTTTGCAGTGTGAACACCCATGCCACTTAGAGACTTTCCGGAGACTAGATCCTCTTGTTTAGAGGGCCTCTGAGGCTGGTAGTGAGTGATGGTGGGACAACAGATCCACTCTAGTCTTTGTACTAACTTGGGCCCCAATTCAGGAAAACACCCCTGTTGAGGAAGGTTGCTTAAGCACCTGCTATGCTTGATGAAGTCAATGGGACTCACAAACATACTTAAAATGAAGCACATTCTTCAGGGCATTCCTGCATCAGGGCCTTATTATTAATTAGTTGGCAGCACTGATAAAATACTTGCTCTTTCATTCATTTTCTTAATGCTTAAGTTGGTCTTGTTTATCTCCAATTTTATCTGTGTCAGTGACTTCATTTCCCCAGACTGATCTCTGCACACAATGCTGCTTGCAACTCTTTCCAGTTTTTATCTTGTTTGATACTCATTGTAACATGAACATTTTGGGACAGATTTTCACAAATGGCCTCCAATACTGCACCCATAACTTTGTACCCACAGTTAAAGGCAGGCACAATTCATTATGCCCACAGCTGAATGCATTTAGATGACTATGCACCAGAATTGCCAGTGAAGTAAGTTAACATAGTTAGGCACCTGAACTACAGACATAAATGGTGTCTACAAATTTTCACCCACATTTAGCTAGCAGCTCAAAATTGCACCAGCAATTTGGAACACCATGTTTTAAAAAAAATGGTCTTTTTAAGCATCTTATTTTGTCTCCATGACTACAGAATCACCAACTACAGTTCTGATCTCCGAGAGGACTGAAAATGTCGATCCTGCTTTCATTACAGAAGGTGTTCTCAGTACAGGTATGTGTGATAATAATACAGGTGCAGAAGACATTTGATCACTGGGTTCAGAGCTCTGACAAGTCGTCATAACCAGAAGTGTTGGCTGTTCTTGAATGTGTATCAAAGATTCATTTATAGTTATTTAATCATCGGGAAACAATCTGTATCACGTGTCCCTGTGGATGCTGACTCAGATCAAAATGCTACAGCTGATAAGGAAATCACAGTATGATGAGTGAATCCACATCATGGGTGAGAAAGGGTTAAAGGCCAGTTAGGCACATTCATGCCACTGAGGCAGTAATTAGATCGGTACTTGTCAGCCAGAGAGCGTGGGGCTAAAGGACGATCAGCTGATGAACTCAACAGACACCTGGGCCTTATAGATAGGCTGAGGGAGTTCAGTATGGAGGGAGAACCTGAAGGCTGGCTGGTTCCTGTGAAAACTTGGGCTGGGTGGGACAGTGCTTGATACCTGAGCCAGGGAAGGTGGGGAAACCCATGGGAAGGGTTGAACAGGTGGCCCAGAGGATAGGTTGATTCTCTGGGACTTTGGACTACACTTGCACATTTTGTTAGTCTGGAAGGGTTTGAACTAGCTGCTTCTCAGCCAGCGGGCTGAGTGACACACAAAGACAGAAGGCCTGCAGGGGGTGCTGGAGATGCAAACCTCTGCAACACCGCATCCTGACACAAGGGGCACTCTTGAGGTGACGACGCACCATTACACACAGTTTCTAGTATCCCAATGGAAATTGGAGGCCAGTAGTTCACTACCGTAGAGTCTCTAATGCATGTCGATCTCTGTCAGGCCGTAACAGTTCCCCACTTCACTAACTGGAACGGGCCTTGTTTGTTCCTGAGTCCTGTCCTGGTCCAAGGTACTGCTTTCTGAGATTTGATCTGACATCAGTTCAAATGTGGCAGCCGCCCTCTTGGCCAGCACACCAGGGGCTGAACCAGCGACTTCCAGAACTAAAGGCATGAGCTGCTACAGCCTGAGTTAAAGAGCCAAGCCTCTGTAAGTGGGAGCTGCCACAGCTTGCGTGGATCGGCCCCAGGGGCAACCTGTACCACACGCTCACCAGCGGGTTATGCAGGCTCATGAAGCATCTTACCCAGAGCCCATTGAAGTCAAAGAAAAACACCCATTGACACTGGATCTAGCACAGAACATTCAGTGGCACACAGTATGTAGGCAACACCAGTCCCCTCCTCTCTAAATTATTTAACTCCTTGTGATTACAGAAAGCAGCAGGGAATTACAACAACCCTCGAATAATGTCACCTCCAGTCCTCCTTCACGGTAGAAATAATTGGGATGCAAAATAGATCCTTTGTCTCATAATTGAACAAACGAGGCCATGTTAACTTTGACCACGCAGGATGCTTCCTTCACCCTGGCCAATCATACTTCAACGCTCTCACTGCTACGTTTATTTGCATATGAGCTCATTACTTTCTCATGAGGCACCATCAACTCTTCCCTCTACTGCATATCCTAATATAGAGGCTGCGATTTCAGTCCTACAACACCACAGTTTCGCAGTTAAACTGATTTGAAACAAACGATGAAAGAAATTCAAACACTGGATTTTTTTTTTCACAGAACAGTTAAAATTCACAAGCTGCCAGAAAGGTCAAATTAGAAGAGTGACACTTAGAAAAGTGACCTGTGTTTTTTTCCCCCAATGTCAATAGCCCACTTGTGGAAATGTCAGCAAATAAGGGCTTAAAAAAGAGGAAATCTGACCTTGGGAAAGCCATTGCTAGCGCCATACTGTCTCCCAAGGGCCCCAAGAACAACGGATCTGAGAAATTCTCTTGGTTCATTCACTTCTTGTAGGCACATTTTGCTTTCCTGTTTTTTCAGACACAGCTGATGTGTGAGGAGAACATGGGCTTTCTAAAAACGCTGTCTCACTTTTTGAGGGCAACATTTGTTCCGGCCTTGTAGCTCCCTCCCTGGTTAAGACCCAAGTGAACAGGAGTTTGCTGGCCCTTGTGGATATTCATTCAAGTCTCCTAGCCCGTTAGCCCCCATTGGCAGGCTTTGTTTGGGAAAGGCTAAGAACTCGAGCAGCAGGAGGTGTTGCAAATCAGGACTGAGTAGCGATGGGTAGAGCTGTGTGGGAGCAGCTTACCCACAAAGTCAGCCCACACAGTTACTAACATTACACTGAGCTTTTAGCCCCTCATTCTTTCAGCATCCGAAGTGGAGGCAAAGCACCATAGGTGCATTCTGCACAGCCTTTGCTAGCAGGACCCTCAAGGTTCAGAGGTAGCAGGGTGAGGGGATGAGGTGTTTGAATCTAACTCTGATCTGAATTTTGTGGCTAGACTGAAATCCAGGGCTGGCTCCATATTCAGCTCTACAGTTCGCACTTTGGGCCCAGGCCTACATCCTGTACCTTCCACGTTCCTTCCTTATGCTCCATCAGCTGGGCATTGCTCTGCAGGGACGTTACTGGAGTAAAAAACATCATTTTTAAGCTGACCGATGAAACATTTATTAGGTTACTTGGAGGAACCACTGAATGATATCTTCTCACATGCTGTAGCCTAAAGTGATTTATTTGATCCAGTGCAAAGAACATGTGAAAATGCTTACTCTGTAAGTGGTAACCCGTGTTCTAAATGGTCTGCAAAGGACATTGCTGGAGTAGAAAAACATAGTAAAACATTGCAGCTTAAACTCCATAATCAGATCACTCAGTGTATGTCTGCACTGCAATAAAAACCTGTGGCGCCAAGTTTCAGAGCCCAGGTCAGTCTACACGGCTATTTTTAGCCCCTCAGCCTGAGTCCTGCGAGCCCAAGTCAGTTGACCTTGGCTCTGAGATGCAATGCTGTGGATCTTTTCATGCAGTGTAGACCTACCCTCTGTCTGTTTCCTTCTGCATTCCATGTCTGAGAAAGACAGTAACAGGACTGATGAAATCACGTGTTGCCGTCCTTCCTCTTCTGAGCTTCTGCATTCCCAAGCAGTGTTTACTCGAGGAACTGATTTTAGCTTGTTGTCTTCTTCTGCTTTGTTTCAGTGACTGCAGCTGCCGCTGTCCAAACATCTACTGTGAGGCCTGATCATGTTCACACATCCACAGACAATCCATTTGCTACAGGTAGAGAGAATGTCACCATGTTTACATGCTAGTGCCTTCCAGGGAATGAGCCAAATTATCCTGTAAGGTGGCTAGATTTGATCTGGGTGTGGTCTGCTCTAGGGGGAATCAGTGGCTGGAAATAATACATTGTGGAAAGTGACCTGACAGTATTTGGTCCTCTTTGTTACAGTGGCTCTGACTTCAGTATGCTACTCATGCATACTGATTAAATGTAGCACAGCTTATTTCAGCAAAATAACAGGACAGGCCTACTGTATTGTGAAAACTCTGAAATCTGGGGTGAACCCCAGGAGTCCTGGGACTCTGTTAGAAGTTTCTGTTTATTTTAATTCCAGGGACAGTTCCCCCAGTTACGGTCCGGACAGTCCCTGAGGCGAGTGAAGTGAATGCTATTTCTGACGCTACATTTCCCTTGACATCTGCGGGAGACTCGGTGAAAGAGGGACTCAGTGAAGGTCTGGAGAGTATAATTAATTTTTATATTTGCTGTAGCCTTGTAGGTGTCTATGGGTTTGCGGAGGACAGTGGAGTTGTCAGTGGAGAGTAATTAAGTGGGATGGACAGGCAGTTTAGGAAGAAAGCTGAGAAGTTCCATTTTTTTATATTATCCCTCACAAACAATAGAGAACAGGGACATAAGGAGAGGCCCCTCCTCTCAGGTGTACATGCGGGGTAACTCCACTGAAAGTTATCTGACTGAGAGCCGAATATGACCCATGGAATTCAAATCTTTCTACTGCCCTTAGGAAAAGTACACTGCTTTATTCCTCATAAGGACAGCCTGTGGTTGGGGCAGGAAATCCAATATATATGCATGGCCTGACCCATCTTCTGGTTAAATAGTTCATCTCTGCACTCCACAGCCTAATCTGTGGAGCACAGCATGGTTCTGCAGGTGGTTGCTGAGCAGTTCAGAAGCACATTTATTTTGTCTATGTTATTGTTGCAGTTTTAAATTCACAAGCCATTCATTTAGGGCAAAGGCCTGATTGCACTGAAGTCGGTGGCAAGCCCCTCCCCCCCACGACTCCAGCGAAGCATTGTTTGTCCCTGAGTGTGTTGCTACATCCTGTAGAAAGGAGAAGTGGGATTGTTGCTTCTGTAGGCTGTGCATTGCCCACACACCAGGGGCCCCTTGCACCCCCCCATGCCCACCTCCACAAGTTACCTGTGTGCCACACTCCCAACCCTATTTCAGGGACTCTCTGTACCCCCTGCCCCTCATGCCAAGGGCTATATGTACCCTCCATTTCCCCCTCCCCACATACCATAATCCCCATCCTCCCTCCCATGCCAGGGGCTCCGTGTGCCCCCACTCCCCTCTTCGCTCGGCCAGTACAGTAATCTCTTATTTCATACCATGAGGCTATTCCTAACTTAACTATGGAGGCTTAATTAGTGCCTGTCCAATATTTAGAGACTCAACCTGATAGCTAATTTGGATCTCTCTGTTTTAGTGAACACCCATAATGCCCGCTCTTTGAATTGTCTTGTTGGTGTTATGAGAATGGAATATTTGAATTTAATTCTAGGTTTTGGTGGCACATTTTGTATTTTTTTTAAACATCCGTTTTGTTTCAGTGACCACATTTTTTCCACCTGCTAGTCACAAGGATTGAATAAAAGTGCATCCATTTCTTATATCCCTAAAAAAAGATTGCTCTATGGGTAGGGAGAACATTATTGACATTAAATACAATGATCCAAGCCATTCTCATGACCACTACTGGTATTTATCACGTAGCGGGACTGCTCGATTGAGACCTGCAGTATTCTGCCTACTGGAGTACTATGTCTCCTGATGGTTCTCATTTACTTTAGCAGGTCCTTGGATAATTGGTCCTTTGCTGAAGGCATGTTTTGTTAGAGCAGCCTCTTTAGTATAGCTAAGGAGGAATTTATGCCAGAAATCAGATGAATATTGCTTTTTGATCGGGATGGGAATCCAGCACAGATGGACCTGACCCAACCCAGGAGGAAATGCAGTGAATGTGTTATTGTGTTGAGTACATTATTTTACAAAAGGGCTGCCCTGCTGATGTTCTAGCTGGAACTCTAAATGGAACAGTGTGGTATCAAGAGCAACCACAGAGCCTGAACCAGCAAACAACACACCACTGTTTAAATGAGTCACACTCTCACACACCCATTCAAAGGAATTATGACTTACTTCTCCCAAGAACGGAGTGAAGTAGAGGTAAGTGACAAAACACAGAAGAGCAGCTGAATGATATCGAATACAAAAAGAGAGGCCAATTTTTGCCGCTGGCTTTAATTCCATTTATCATGCCATTGCATTAGGTCCTTTGTGAACAGATGTGTTCAACGCAATACATTGGTTAAAAGCAAACTGCCCTTTAAGCGTGGTATAAGTTAAGGTTAGTACATTGCTAGTGAAATCTTGGAGTGAAAGCGAGGATTGAAATTGACCTCTCTGTCTAAACAAACATTTCAAATTCTGTGGGCTAAATGCTCAAACCTCGCCAGCTGACCTGCATGCACAAGTCCAATATCCCCATCTAACCGAGCACCTAAATTCCCGCGTAAGCAGGCGAACTCTACATTTGCATGTGTAATTTAGGAGGCCAGTTTGGCAAACTGCTCCCTACTATTTTAATGACAAGCATCACACATCATTTCATTCATTGTTGTATATCCCTGCAAAAGCCGCACCTGGAGGAATGTGCTTCTGGAATTAATGAACTCCAAGGTGGTGGAACGCAGTAGCCTGAAGTTGGATCAGAAGAATGCTAGACGCAGGCCCCAACGGATAAAACCTTCTGTATTAGGAGGGGCCCAGTCCGGAAGCAGTGGAGTTGTAAGTCAAGTCAGAATCGGGTCCCTTTTTATTAGCTACCTTTCCACTGCTCCACTCACATGTCTTTTTAAAAATTTTATTTTTGTTTCATTCAAGATAAATAAAAAGGGAAACAGCTTCAGGGGGAGCAAAGAGGACAGAATATTATATCAGAAGTACACGGAAAACTGTTGTCCACAATGGGGGATTTAATATACATAAAAACACAGCTTCATTTTTTAATATAACAAATTTAATTATATTCAGCACAGTAATTAAACTCTAAATAACAAACTTTCCCTCACATCCATCTAAATCTTCATTATAAATTGAAATACTGATGATATCTTGTTCACCACATTGATTGGCTTGAGTCTAGAATGGTAGTCGGTTAAGTTACCATTTAGTGAAGTCCCACGCTCAAACACTTACCACACATGTGGTCTTAGGAAGTCTTTTTCTATGTACGGGTGAATGTGCATGTGACTCATTCAGGCATCAGCATGTTTTTGCCAGTATAGATCATGTGGTTACTTTTTATATCACACATTTGCCTTCCGAGCATGATCTGTAATGTCACGGCAGCAGTCTGTTTGAATATTAACATGCCCAACCCAGTAACTCATTGAGTTCAGTGGGCTGCTCTTTAATCACAAGGGTCTCGATCCTGTGAGGCATTTAAGTGCCTCCTGTGAGGAGCTTACTGCTCTCAACTCTAAGACGTCAGCACCTTGCAGAACTGGGTCCATTATAAACAAAGGCCAGTCCATTGCTAGCACAATATCACCAGGGCGTGATTTAAAGTTCACTGTGAACATGGTTTAAATAAGAAATGAGCAAACAAAGCTTTGCAGAGCATTGCACTTTGTGATGCATCAGAATTTCACTGTGTTGGGACCACAGTTTCCTTATTTTACAAGTTAAAGAAAATACATAAGAACAGCCATATTGGGTCAGACGAATGGTCCATCTAACCCAGAATCCTGTTTTCTGACAGTGGCCAGTGCCAGATGCTTCCGGGGGAATAAATAGAACAGGGTAATTATCAAGTGATCCATCCCCTGTTGTCCAGTCCCGGCTTCTGGCAGTCAGAGGTTTAGGGACACCCAGAGCATAAGGTTGCATCCCTGACCATGTTGGCTAATAGCCATTGGTGGAACTTATCTAATTTTTTCCACCCAGTTATAGGTTTGGCCTTCACAACGTCCTCTGGCAATGCGTTTCACAGGCTGATTGTGTGTTGTGTAAAGAAGTACTTCCTTTTGTTTTCTTTTAAACCTGCTGCCTATTAACTTCATGGGGTGACCCCTGGTTCTTGTGTTATGTGCAGGGTAAATAACACTTCCTTATTCACTTTCTCCACACCAGTCATGATTTATAGACCTCTGTCATATTCCCCCTCATTTGTCTCTTTTTTAAGCTGAACAGTCCCAGACTTTATTTAATCTCTGCTCATATGAAAGCTATTCCATGCCCTTAATCATTTTTATTGCCCTTTTCTGTACCTTTTCCATTTCTAGTATGTCTTTTTTGAGATGAGGTGACCAGAACTGCACACAGTATTCAAGGTGTGGGGGTACCATGGATTTATATAGAGGCATTATGATATTTTCTCTCTTATTATCTATCCCTTTCTTAATGGTTCTTAACATTGTTCGCTTTTTACATTTTACAGCAGTTTGCACTTTCATGTTAGGCCCTCTTAACATTGCTTAACGTTGTTTGGTTATATGTTGCTTAAGAGCAAGGGAGGAAAGCCCGCCCAGTGCTTAGGATACTAACTTATGACTCAGAAATTCAGGGTTCAATTCCATACTCCAAAAACTTCTGTGGGATCTTGGGCAAGTCACTTAGTCTGCCCGTGCCTCAGTTTTACAGATGGGGATAATACCTCATCCCTATCTCACAGGGCTTTTGTAAGCATAAATGCATTAAAGATTGTGAGATGCTCCGATACCCCAGTAATGAAAACCATATAGACACCTCAGATAGACGGATCAAGCTGCAATATAATTGCAGGGGCATTTGTGGGAAAACACCTGACACTACAGATTTTTCCTGTGATATTTTAAATCGTATCAGCATCTTCAAGTTACCGTGGTAACACATAATTCTAACAGAAATTAAACTGAATGGCCTTAGGCCTTATTCACCACATCTGATTTACTGGCATGCTCACCGGAGTGAAAATTTCGTCACAGGAAGGTAAGTTTCTTTCTGCTGTTCTTCACTGTTAGTTCTTGTGACTTCACCCTTTCCTGATGAATATTGACACATTTCCTGATGAATATCTGCCATTCCTAAGCTATGAATGAGAGTCATCCTACAATTTAAAGCTTCTTTTTTATTTGGGGCCAGATTCTGACACGCTTACTCACAATGAGTAGGACCTTCACAAATTTGACTTCATATAGTTAGGTTCTGTTCGACAAGGGTATCAGACTTTGGCCCATACTCATTTTATTCTCTGCTTTTTCTGTTGTCAGAGACTTCAAAAGATTCAAAACTCCAGTCAGAGGAAAGTGTAGATAATCCAGCACAGGTAAAAACTATTCTAAGTCTGAGAAGCAGAGCTGGGCAAAAATTTTCATGCAAACAGTTTTTCCACCAGAAAATGCAAATTTGGTTTGACTGAAACCATTTGTGAATTTAGGTCACATTCGATGAAGCGTTTGAGCTGAAAAAAAAGTTTAAAATCTATTTTTTGGAAATGTCAAAAACATTTTGCCTTTAGTTTCAGAAAGACATATTGTGCCAGAATGTAAAAAACTGAAAGTTTTAAAACCCTGGAAAACAAAACAAAACCTTCCAAAATGTATTTTGAGTTGAACAAAAGTATCGCTTTGATTGTTATTTTTCAGTTCAACCACAGAACTCAAAAATCTGCTATTAGCCCAGCCCTGCTCAGAAATGTCTGATTAGCTAACAGCCTGCCTGCCCTGTCAGTCTTTTAAATAGTGTTTTATGTTAAGTTCACACTGCCTGCAAAGTAGCATGGTAGGTGGTTTAAAATTGTTACGTGGGAACACAGGAATTCCCAGACTGGCTCAGACCTATGGTCCGTCTCGTCCAGTATGCTGTCTTTGACAGTGACCAGAACCAAATGGTTCAAAGGAAGGTGCAAGAAACATTGGCTGATGTGTTGTGCCATTTTTCAGGTCACCTACCGTTTGTCCTCTACTGTTCCATACAGCCGCCTTTCGGCTAGTTTGTCCTTGCAGATCAGTTGTGTGTGGATGACCTGTACCAGCTGACCTGACTTGAAAGGGGAGAGGGCTAGAGTGTGTGTCATGTTGAGTCTGACCAACTGCAACATACAGATTTTTATAAGATCAGATGCCAATGGCTGTGTGAGTGGCAAGGAAAAGTTCCTATGCCTCCCCGGTCTCGCACCCCAGAACTGTTCCAGACAGGGCCGGCTCCAGGTACCAGCACAGGAAGCTTGGGGCAGCCAATGGAAAGGGGCGGCACGTCCGGGTATTTGGTGGCAATTCGGCGGCGGCTCCCTCAGTCCCTCTCGGAGGGAAGGACTGGCCACCGAATTGCCGATCGCGGCTTTATTTATTTTTTTTTTTTGCCGCTGCTTGGGGCGGCAAAAAAGCTGGAGCCGGCCCTGGTTCCAGATGTGCTGGACACCATGATTCTTTGCTGCCTCCCCTCCATTCCAGAATTAAGTTTTTCTCACTGTATAAAATATTCATGTACTTTGCAGATAAAATTCCTCAGATTCAAACCATGCTGTCTGTTGCCATGGGAACAGGGCAGTGTTTGAAAGGGACAAACACCAGGTAACCCATCTTTGAGGTTCAGCCAGTGGTGTTCACTGATGGCTTTGTGCTACAACCTGTGAATCAGACTTTTTCCCTTCTTGGCTAGTGAAGTCTAAAAATCTATAGTTGGTTGAGGTAATATCTTTGATGGGACCAACTTCTGTTGATGAGAGAGACAAGCTTTCGAGCTACACAGATCTATACCTTTCCCAGACTTGAAGAAGTGCTCTATGTAGCTCGAAAGCTTGTGTCTCTCACCAACAGAAGTTGGTTCCATAAAAGATATTACCTCACCCACCTTGTCTAGCTAATATCCTGGTACCGACATGGCTACAGCAACACAGCATATTGTTGGTTGGGAGAGACAACCATTTCATAATGGGGGTCAGGATCTGGCCCTGTGGGTTCAGATAAACTGAGGCCTAGTTTGGGTTTGGGGTCTGCTTAACCAAAACCCACCCAAGGAGATTTTGCAAAAGCAACCTGTGGTTTTGCCAAATCTCCAACTTATGGAAAACAAAAATAAGCTTGGAATTACCACAATACACACTCCAACTACCTTTCAAAACATACCACAAAGTTGCATGTAGTATTCCTGATTTTTCGTCCGTATTCATGAGGAAGGCTCAGAAAATCCATCCTGAAATTTACGTTACAAACTCCTGCTGATTGCAGACATTTCAGAGTACTTATCGGTTAGACCAACCAGACCTCAATTAAACTTACCAGAGAAAAATCATAGTTTAAAAGTCTTTTCTGCTTTACTTCCCCCCCCCCCCCCATTAGCACCTACAGAATGAAATTCCAACAGTAATCATCAGTGTGGTAGTGACGGTCATTCTTCTCTTCACATTCTTGCTGGTAGTGTTATTGACATGTAAGTATTTGAGGGTAGGTGTCCATCTTAATGCTCTGCATTGGCTGCTGGTCTGATGTGGATCTCTTTTGCATCTTTCTGTCCTCCAAATATTGAATTGAAATATTGAATTGCTGACACAAGGCAGATGTGAACTATACATTATATCTTGCTGTTCATTGCCTGAGTGCTTTTGATTCTTGCTGCCTGCAAATATGTGAAAACAGTTTGTTCTTATTTAGTGAAGACTGGGCCAAAAGTGGGGTCTGGTCATAACCAACCCACTATGGAGAAGGAACTTGATTCTAACCTCATGCTAGTTTTACATGGATGTAACACCACTGACATTAAAGAGGAGAATCAGGTTGAAGGTATTTTGGAGCTGCACAACGGAAGGCTGATGTTGAATTGCAAATCCAGACACAGGGAAACGGATGCTTAAAAACTTAAGCTTAATACATAAGTAACAGCACTACAAAACTACAGAATTTGTTCTTGGAAGCAGTTCGATATATAGATATGTACAATGGGCAAATTGTGCTCTCCGTTACAGTGGTTTAAATCTGGCGTGACTCAATTGAAGCAGCGTTTGGTGGCTATACAGAGCCTGTTTCTCCCAGTGGTGTTAATGGAGTAACACCTGTGTAATGGAAAAGCAACGTGAAAAGAGAATGAGGCTCACAGCACTTATTGCTTATCAAAAGGATGATCTCTCGTGCAAGTGGCTAGGGGAATTAACCTTATCACGGTGTTCCCTTGATTCCTCGAGTGAGGAGAATCCTGATGAATTGGCAACCAGTAAAACCAGCACTGGTGACGTTTTTCTGTACAAGTGCAGTGAACCTATTTCACTCCAGAACATTACTGCTTACACACGTATCCATGTGAGTTCACTTTTAAACACTTCAGTGTACTTTATTCCCCTGGAGATCATGTCACCCTGTTCGTTTGGTGGAGGTTTGCTTTCCTGACAGGCAGGACTGGAAGAGTTTAGGAGGAATTCACTGCTGGCCGTGATGGGTAGGAAGCAACCTCTAAGGAGCCAAAGCCCGTTCATCACACATGGCTTGATTCTGATCTGACTGACACAGGTTTAGCACTTGTGAAAATACATTGAGTTTACTGGAGTTACTCCTGACCCAGGCCGGTATAACTGCGGGTACGTCTACACAGCAAAAAAACCAGCAGCACCGAGTCTCAGAGCTTGGGGTAAACTGACTTAGGCTCATGAGGCTCACGCTGTAGGACTAAAAATAGCAGTGTAGATGTTCAGGCTGGGGCTGGATCCAGGCTCCAAGACCCTCATCCCCTCCGGATTTCAGAGTGCGGGTCCAGCCCAAGCCTGAATGTCTATACTGCTATTTTTAGCCCTACAGTGCAAGCCCGGCGACCCTGAGTCAGTTGACGCAGCTCTGAGACTTGCCGCCATGGGTCTTTATTTGCTGTGTAGACACACCCTTAGGTCAGGGCACTGGTCCCTGCTCAGCTGCTACAAATTTTGCAACATTTACAACATTGTCTTTGTGTCCGAGTGCATTAGAATTTCATAAGAATTATGGCTTTGTTTTTCCTCGTCAGATTCTAATTAGCACTGCTTTGTTTCTAGATAAACGCTCGAGGAAGTATCAACTGCATATGATAAAAAGGTAATCTGTGTTGTCATTTCCCAAGAAAGGGTCCAAGCTTGATCCTACTGAAGGCAATATGGGATTTGCCATTGATTGCAATGGGAGCAGGACAGATTGCACATGTTGTATTAGAACACTGACCTCCAGACCACTTTACTCCAGACAATCCAGCATTGCTGCTTATAAATTGCACATAATGGAGTAACAAATTGACAACCAGAACACTGAAGAACTGCTAATGGTGGTGCGTGATGTCATGTAGTGACTTCAGTTCAGTGAACTAAATAACCCACTTCAGGATTTGATCAAACACCTTGAGGAAATGGCACATAAGGACCTGACTGACCTGCTACATGGGTGTAAATCAGGAATAATCCCTTTGGTATTATACTGGGGTAAACAAGAGAGAAGGGAATCTGGTGTGCACAACTGGCCTGGTTCTCCTCTGTCTTGCACAACTTTTACACTAGTATAACTCCATCTACTTCAATGGGGTGAGTTATGATTTACACCAGAGCAAGTGAAGGCAGAATCTGGCCCATTATTGTGCCCAACCAGGAAAACAGTTTCTTCTGCTGACACATGACAACATAAGAGTTTCATGTTCAGTCCACAGTGAAGAGGTGTTCATGCCAAAGAGGCAAAAGAGGATACTATGCGTGATGAAGGTCTCAGTAGAGGAGTAAGGTAACTCTAATTCTTTCTTTGTAACAGGGGTTTATCTCACAGCTACTGTACAGTTTAGCATCCTCTTTGGATCCCACTGACGCAAATAATTTATTCCTTTCTATGCATTTTAGGAGTTGAGATTTCTGATCATTTCACCATACTCTGAAATGTTTTGTTGCTTAGTCAGAATAGAGGATGGTCTGTAAACAATTTGACCACTGGCACATCAAGTGCAGATGTTTACCAGTAGTCAGTAGCTGAATTTTCAGTGGAAGACGGCCCCCAGCCATCCACCTTATCGTGCACATAACCAATTCTACTGTGCTGAACATGGGAGAAGGGGAAATTCTTTTCCGATCTCCTATGGAGATCAGTTTACACCTACAAGCCTGAGACTTGAAGCGTCTCTTAACCTGTACTTTAATGTGGGGGGAGGGATAGCTCAGTGGTTTGAGCATTGGCCTGCTAAACCCAGTGTTGTGAGTTCAGTCCTTGAGGGGGCCACTTAAGGATTGGGGGTAAAATCAGTACTTGGTCCTGCTAGTGAAGGCAGGGGGCTGGACTCGATGACCTTTCAAGGTCCCTTCCAGTTCTAGGAGATAGGATATCGTCATTAATTTTTTTTTTAAATGGAAATGGTCCAGCAGGTGTAAATCGGCATTACTCCATTAACGACAATGCAGAGATGCCAATTTGCATTAGCTGAAGATCTGGCCCAATGGTTTTCTTTTCCCCAAACTTCAATAGGAATTTGCCCAGGCAAAGATTAAGTTAGGATCTCAGGATTTGGCCCACCATGATGGGCCCACGTATTTGTTTGCTACCCCAATAATAATCTGCACTTCTTGTTACAGCTCAGACTTATCTGGAGAACAAATTCCCAATGGAGTAGAAGAAGAGAATACCCTTTTGACACTGCAGCAGATACCTGACGGCCATTCAGTATCACAGGGAACATGTCACGATCCTGTGGAATCCAGCATCTAAAAGAGGCTCTTTCATGCTAGGCTGGAAAATAAGGATTAATTCCTTGCTAACCCTGGAAATAATGATGGGTACAAACCAAAACCCAGATCCAAACACCTGAACTGCGGGGACTTTAAAACCTAGAAGCAGATTTTACTCAAAGGTTTTTAGGCACCTAACTTCCAGGGGATCCCCTGAGGATCTGGGCCTTTTCCTCTTGAGACATCTTTAAAACTGCTGGATAAAGTGGCCTCTATTAGAAGATATTTTACCCATCGCTTGCATCTCAGAATTCTTAGTCTCTTAAACCCCAACCCTGGAACTGCTTGCTTATGAGTAACTTCAAAGCACATGAGTAATCTTGCTGAAGTAACTGGACTACACATATGCTTAGGATCTGAGCCTTATTTACTAATAACAGCAGGGGCGCTGGAACAATTTGTATAGTGGGGTGCTGAGAGCCATTGAACCAAACTGTAAACCCTGTATGTGATGGAAACCACTTGAAGTCAGGGGGTGCTGTATTACTGCTGGAATAGAGTTTACCGTTCCCTATATTCTCCTAACCTGACTGCCTGAATACATGCTGTGGCGTGAGCAATAATAAAGAGAAGAACTAACCTTGATGATTAATAGTTTTACAATGTCAAAAACCCAAAACATTAACTCTTATTCCTTTTGCAGAATCAAAGAAAAATTAAGAGATGAGGTTGCTGATGGTCTAAATCAGGTGTGACCAAATTGTGGATCGGGGCTACTTGTGTTCCTTGGGCTGGACATCATGGCCTTAAATGTGCCTGGGTTAATAACAATTTGTATTTGATTACAAATTGAAACTGGGTTCCCTGGGCTGCACCGTGAGACTTTAAAACTGAAGTGTGTGACTCAGTTACACCAGAGGTCTCCAAACTGTGGGGCGCACCCCCTGAGGGGGGCAGTGAGGAACGTTTGGGGGGGCACAACAGGGCCTGGACCAGCCCCCACAGCAGGTCAGGAGGGAGGCCAGTTCTGCACCAACCCCACCTCCAGCTGCTGCCCTGGCTCCCAGCACTATGCCTGGCCCCGCCCCCAACCTCTGACTGTGTCCCCCGCCCCCAGCCCTGCCCCGACCATGTCCTGGCTGTGGCCCCGCCCCCAGCCCCACCCCTGACCACATCCTGGCTGTGGCTCAGCCCCCAGGCCCGTCCCCAGCCTCAGCCCCTGATGACCGTGTCCTGGCCACTGCTCCACACGTGCCGCTGGTCCCACCCCCAGCCAGGGCCGACTCTACCATTTTTGCCGCCCCAAGCATAACCAGAATGCTGCCCCTTCCCCTGTGCCACCCCAGGCATGTGCTTCCTCGGCTGGTGCCTGGAGCCGGCCCTGCCCTCAGCCTTGGCCCCTGGCTATGGCTCCAGCTCCGTCCCTACTCCCAGCCCCACCCCCAGCTGCAGCCCCCTTACCCCATCCATGTTCCTCCCCCAAGCCTCCGCCCCGCTCCTGGCCCCGGTTCCGGGGAGGAGGGGCACAGAGAGGGGTAAGGGGGGCATGACCCTGAATAGTTTGGGAACCACTGAGTTACACCCACTGGGGTTCAACATTCCCCACCCCCACCACACCCACTGCGGGACCCAAGCAAGGGCTTGGGGGTGGTTTCCATTCCCCATTGCACAGCCCAAGTGGTGTAAGGGGAGCAGAGCATCGCCTCCAAAGTACTGATGGGAGCCCCTGGGCCCTTTAGAAATGACACGTTCAGCCCTGATTCTGGGAAGGTTGGGCAGTGAATAGTCACTAAGTGAAGCCCTGTTTATTGGTTCATTTTAATGAGTGCGTAGCCCACAGAGGCAATGGAAGGGTTAATCTGGGCCTGAGAGGCCCGTTATGCAACCTGGCTGCACCTGGAGGGTGGGCCAGGCTTAAGGGGGGATCGAACCCAGCTGGCTCTCCATAAAGAAAGCAGCACGGGGCAGTGAAAGAAGGCAGGGAGGAGACAACTAGCTGGGTGTTTCCTCTCCTGGACTAAAGGCAGAGAGAGAAGCCAGAGCTGGAGAGCTCTGAGCCAGGGGGAAGCCAGAGGCAGTGAGGGGAAAGCTTCAGGGGCATTTGGACTGGAGTTTGGGGCTGCGGGAAGAGCGGGAAAAGCTCTGCAGTGACTCTCTGGGCACTGGATAAGTGGAGTTATCCAGAAGACACAGGATTGGAGCCGTTCCTGTGGCTGACCCCGATTGAAGGAGCAGGAACTGGCCCTCTGGAGAGAGACCCTAGGAGGTGTTGCTTGTTACACAGAGCCCAGGAAGGGGCTGGGGGGAAAGCCTCGGGAAAGACTAATGGTAGGAAGGCGCCCAGGGAGGAAGGGGCAAGGTGTCTGACCGAGCAGACCATGGCTGCTTGTCCTAGAGTCCCTGGTCTAGAACCCAGCAGAGAGAGTGGGCCTGGGTTTCCCCACCAGCCACTGGGGGAAGGCAATATTGAGCCCCTGATGTAAGGGGATAAGGACAACTCAGAGCCTGGAGAGAAAGGTGTAAGGACCACTGGGCCCAGAGTCAGGGGCCACAGACCTGACACAGGATTACTAGTTGAATGCTCCGTTACCCTGGAAAGAGTCGGATTAAAACCCGACCTGGCTGGAGGGCTGAGCGGCAAGAAGAGAGACCACCAGAGTGACTGTTGGCAGCGGGAATGAGGGCAGAAAGGGCTGCTACACCGTGCCCTGCCATGAGGGGGCGCACCCATGGTGAGTCAACCCTTCTACAGGGTGAAACAACTAGCAAGACTTCGTTTGCAAGTCCCCCGTGCATATCCCCCTGTTGCCTTCTGTAGGTGTTCCCAGGGGATAGGCCATGCCGATTGGGCCCTTTCAATGCCTCTCAAACTCAGATCTGCTCTCTGAAGTTGTTCACTACTGAAGGATTGAGGCTGGGGGGCTAATTTCCAGACTCAGTCTCCTGTGTCTGAAAAGCCAGGGGGTGACTGTTTGCCATTACGTGCCTAACACAAGTACTAGACACCTACAGTGCTACAGAATGAAACAAACACTTGTCTTATCAGCTCACTGTGGTATTACATTATAGGAATAGGACAACACTGCAAGGTATCATGACATGGTCAGTATTGGGATAAGGTTAAATTCTCCTTTGTGTAAATCCCTAAAACTGCGGTCTCTCCCTGGACTATAATGGAAGCAGTGCACTGTTAAACCTCTCTTCCAGTCAACTTATTGCAAGTGTAGCCCCTGTATAGCTCCAGGGCCACCTGGCTGATACGTTGCTGTAGAATGAAATGCGTCATTTTTCGACACTAATCAGCAGGGAGAGAACCTCTGTTCACATGGTGCTTTTGCCTGTCTGTCTTTCAACTAGCATTTGTCTTCAGCTAAGTTTGTACTGCTCTCATAATCAACTTGGCTGGGTGGCTGATAAATTGGGATCCATTTTATACTCTCAGTTTGGAAGCGAAAGCAGGCCTGCAGTAGATTGATGTAAGTAGCATGGTTCTGTGGAAGTTCGGGTGCAGGACAATAGATTAGGCAATGAAACATTTGGGCCTCAAAGGAAAGGATCATGAATTGAGGCTGGTACAGTGAGAAGTTCTTGGTTGTGTGAAAAGTTAAATGTGTGTGTGTGGGGGGGGGGGTCGTTTTGTTTTAAGCTTCAGGTGGCAGCTGTTTTAATGGAAAGTGACTTTCTAGAAATGACATTTGAGTGGAAGAAATGGCTTACTTGAATTGACAGGGCCTGATTTTCCCCCCACAGTTGTTTATGCCATTTTTATTACTCCGCTGTTCCACCTTCAGGGGCAGGACAGTGAAGTAGAACTGTAGTAACAGAGTGGGGAATGAGTCTCAAAGCTATTTAGGTCCTGACTCCGGGATCAAAAGCCTCAATTCGGAGTCCGTCCTCATGGAAACCATTTCTGTGCCCTGGACTAGAATAGCTGGGGTATTGTGGCTGAGCTGTTCATGGGGAGTTTGCAGATGATATGCCTGGCTTCAGAAAGTGGTGTGAGTAAGGGCTAGTCTACACTTACCGGTTAGTTCGACGGCTGCGGATCGAAGTTACGAGTTCGATTTATCGCGTCTGGTCTGGACGCGATAAATCGAACCAGGAAGTGATCCCCGTCGACTGCGGTACTCCAGCTCAGCGAGAGGAGTACCGCGAAGTCGACGGGGAGCCTGCCTGCCGCGTGTGGACCGCGTCTGAACCGCGGTAAGGTCGAAGTAAGGTATGTCGAATTCAGCTACGTTATTCACGTAGCTGAATTTGCGTACCTTACTTCGATTTGGGGGGTAAGTGTAGACCAGCCCTAAGACGCGCTCTCGTATGTTTAAAGAATAAGGAGGGGCTCCTGGTTTTGAAGCAATTCCTTAAACAACAAAAATCCAGGCGCCTCTGATGATGAAGTCAGTCAATGTTTCATTTCAACCAGGGTCTACCCATTAAGGGTTTGATCAGGTCCTCAGCTGGTTTAAATCCGAATCTCTCATGTCAGTGGAGCACTGTCTTCTGTGGCGTGAGCCCAGTGATGCCAGCTGAGGATCTGGCACTCTCTCTGTGAGGATGGTTGTATTTATAACATTTTGGGGCACAGCACTAGAATTGAGGGACTTAGCCAATGAAGTCAGTTTGATCTAATCTGCCCATGTGGAAGCAAATCCCAAAAATGCAACTGAGACGCTATAAATAACTTGGGTTTCTAACAATTCTCCCTCCCACCCCCCCCCATTATTTACTCAGATTTGAAGGCACAAAGGAAATGACAAGACAGAAAGGAACCTGGCTGGAATTTTAATGAAGTCAGGTGGGACATGTTTTAAATGGAAATGTGCTGAACTAATTCATGAGGAGCTGATACCAGCTGTCTGTGCATTTAATGAAAAGTTAAAGGGAGTCTTTTGAGAGATGACTAGGGAAGTTATGCCTTTCTCTAAAGAAAACAGAAACCTGAGGAATTCAATCCCAGAGCAGAATAGGGGGGGGGGGGAAATCAGATCAAAGCAGCAGCTTTCAGAAAGGAAAGAGTGTTTAAAAAATGAGCCATAAGCATCTGGAAACTTTTTTTAGAAAGCCTAGGAGAAGAATCCAGATCAAGGGAAGGAGGATTAGGCATGAAGGTAATACAAGGCATTGCTGGCAGAATTAACTTAAGGTGGTGCTTTAAAATCCTATGTGATGCAGTAGGAAACACTATTTACTCTGTCCAATATTTGAGATTGCCATTAAGGAGTTAACTTAGAAAAGGCAGATTTCTGAGGAGGCCAGAAACACTGTAAACTGATGTCTTTTCATTGAATAAGGGTCTTCCTGTGATATTCTGCTGGAGAGATCCCACTAGTCCATAGTGTCACTCCCTTTCAATCTCCTGCTCCTTCTAAGGTGTCTCTCAGCCTTTCCCCACCCAATTCTCGAGGGTCTCTGCCCACTTGCTACTTCTGCTGGTGCCTGGCAAAAATGGGGCTCCCTGCTTCTCCCATGGGCATGCATGTGCCAGCCTGGCCAAACACCTTCCTTCTATAACTGTTCCATGGACTGTCACAGGAACTGGGGGCCAAAAACATGCAGATGAGCTGTCAGATTCAAAGGAGCAGCCAGGTGCATTTTCCTACTTTA